ATGTTCCAACAAACTCTAGTCGACTAACTTGTGATAACATCAATCTTAAAAGCCAATACAATGAAAGATGTGTACTTCTAAATATAGTTAGTTTTTACAAACCAGGGAACACTTCCAACTTTGCTTGGTTGTTCCGGAGTTGAATAAACATAATAAACAGAAGAGTACGTAGCTTTGCATCTGATGACTGAACCCAGTTGAAATATGCATATTTCACAGGCTTCAGAGAACCTCTTGTGCTCGTCATCTTTGGTAAAATCAATGTTTCCTTCTCAGAAAGCAAATGAGAGATGCAATAATATGTGCTAAGAATCATTTGCACACTATTTATCTATATATCGAACTATCTCAAAGGATTTTTATTTGCATGAAACAGATCTAAAAATAATTATATGGTTCTTCTATCAACTATTAATTGGTCGTACAATGCCAATAGGTTAAGATCTTCTTGTCCTTTATTTGTACAGGACAAATGCAAAAGAACACAATTTCTGTAATGCTTGAGCAAAATTCTCTTCCATGATTTACATATACTACATCATCGATTAGGCTGTTCACAGTGGAAGGACGTGACATACACAATTCTCTTCCATGATTACTCCACGCCCTTGTTGCTCCACATTGGCTAATCTTGTTGTGGCTCAGCTACAATGGGGAGGCCATTGCCGCCGAGGTCGTCGCTGCTCCTAGCCGCCACAGATCCACTGAGCCCATGCTGGATCTGAATCCCAAGACCTTCGGAAAGGAAGGGAATTCTAGTTTGTTGGAAGAAAGGCGAGAGCTTGAACTCGTTGGCAAGAACCATAATGACGTTATTGTCAACCCCCTTGCTCTTTTTCTTCCACCTCACATTCCTCTCCACTTTCTTGTCGGCCTGTGGTAGTTAGAGAGTTTGTCGGGGAGAGAGAGAGAGAGAGAGAGAGAGAGAGAGAGAGAGAGAGAGAGAGAGAGAGAGAGAGCTTGAATTTGCACTGGCCATGCTGCCCCCCAATCCATGCTTGTCGGAGCTTGCCAACAACACCCCCCTGATTCGCGTGCGGATGGAAGGGGATAGGCAGACAACTGTAGAGGAAGGGATGAAACTGGCACAACATCAGGAAAATAAGAAAGGAGATGACCATGGATGAGGAAGAAGAGTTGTGAGGTCATATTGCAGTCAATGGTAGTGGGGAAGAACGAATAAGTTGAGTAGATGGTGGGGATGAGCAAAGTAAGGATGAGAGACTGACATGTGTGGATGGATTATGGTTATTAATTGGTCTCATTTTTAGGCTGAAATTAAAAAAAAAAGGGACTGAACTCTACAATTCCTTGTCCCTACCTAAAGCTCATATGCTATTGTAGGACTTAAGCCTCATGAGTAGCTCAAGTGGATGCGATATGTGAGGGAACTACATAGGGTGACATGTGAGGGCACTAAATAGGGTATCTTGCACAATGACTCAAAGTCCTGACTTAGCATTCCTAGCTATATCGGCAGTTTGGTATTATTCAAAAGTTGAGTATATTATTCCTATAATATAAGGGGCAATTGCAAATTTACCACTACTTTGAATCGTTATTGCAAAACTGCCACTGGAACTGTCATTCGAGTGGCATCCTTGCAATATTGAAAATGCCCCATAATATAACCACTATATATGCCTTCTCATTAGCAGTAGCACTGTTGGTGTTGATCTTTACCATTTTTTTTCTTGTACAAAGGAGAGATCCACCATTGCAACATGGTATGTGTTTTATAGGTGCTGCATTGGAATGCCTGTGTTAAGTGAAGGTGGAAGCGGGATCTTAACTCAGGTTAAATAAAAGTACAATCTTTTTACCTAATATCTGCTCTTCATTGCATTAAATTATACTTGTCTTAGTGTATAATTCCATTCACTATGTTAGATCCTCACATCTCTGACGGCCCACCAGTGACATGTCGAAGTGCTAGTCACGGATGCTGGTCACCTTTGACAGGTCCTAAAGTTTGCCATCATTGGTGAGGCATCCGGCCGTGGCCCGTGACAGGTATTAGGTCATTTGTGACGGGCCGGAAATGCAACCCGACAGAGGGGCACCGGTGTCGAGTTAGGATTCCATCCCGTCACAGGTGACATGATACCTGTGACGAGCCGCGGAGTTCCGGCCCGTCAAAGGTATGGTCCACTCATCAAATGGGCTCTAGCCCTAACCAGTTTGAGGTGAGTTGGGCCAATATATATACCCCCAACTTCCAATTGCTTACCATCCCGACCCAGTGCACTGTTCACATTTCGGGTGGGAGGGTTGGGAGGGCAATTTTTTTTGCCGGAAATGGAGGTAAAAAAGGGTGATAAGTAATTTTTTCTACATGTATTATGCATTGTGTTTTACTCTATTTATTGATTGCAGATGGACCGAAGTTGGATGTACAATATTCACCGTGATTCTGAAGAGTATAGGGAGGGGGTTAGTGCATTTGTTAGTTTTGTGGATAATAATAGGAAAAATAAGATGAGCAAATATATGTTGTGTCCATGTGCAGACTGTAAGAATGAGAAGATGTTTGAGAAAAGTTCATGGGTTCATTCTCATCTAATCCGTAAAGGATTCATGGAGAAGTACAAATATTGGAGCAAGCATGGAGAGCAAGAGTCACCGGATGTAGCAGCTGATGAAGTACTGGATGTCATGAACGACCCAGCAGTTTGAGATGGCATTTTTGTCCCTTCTCCATCAGGCGGTGATGCCATAGATGTGGACCCTCAAACTCTATCAGATATGTTGCGTGATGTTGAAGACCCATATCATAGCGAGAGGGATTTCGAGAAGTTCAGTATGTTGGTGGCAGATTCTAAGACACCATTGTATCTTGGGTGTAAGCCGAAGCACAAGAATATTCCTCTATGTTAGAACTCATGAAGCTTAAGGCAAGTAAAGAATGGTCAAACAAGAGTTTTACAGAACTTCTTGGGTTCTTGAAGGATTTGTTGCCGGAGGGAAACCAGATTCCGTAGACGACATATGAAGCAAAAAAAGTCTTATGCCCATTGGGTCTAGAGGTAAAAAGAATTCATGCTTGTAGAAACGACTGCAAAATATGTTCAAAGCACTGTGAAAAGTTCAAGTAAGTACATCATGCACTTCTTGGAATTAATATATGCTGAAAAAAGAAACATAATTGTTATGTGGCAGGAGTAGCAATAACAACTTATCGATCAACTTACCTTATAAATCTCACTAAACATGCTATGTCAAATGATATGCCTGTTTGGGGATGAAGAGGATGAAATAGTTACAAATGATTTTGCAAAATTTGTGTGGCATGGTTCAAATTGTCCCTAAAAACAAAGATGATTTAGTTGATCAGTTATAGATTTATAGTTAAAAGTGACACACACACACACATGCGTTAGCGTGGAGAAAGATACAACACGAACAAACAAGCTACTACATAATAGTGTAATTCTTGCTTTTCTCCTGTTGATCACCATTTTCATTGCATACTTTTGGTGCGGATTGGTATATATTGTCCAAAACTTATGTGTGCACCTATATGATTGGAAGTAAAATGATGAATCTCTATGCATACAACCATGTCGTCAGGTGGCTAGGTGAAGTTTCTCATCTCTAGAGACAACTGATGGACATGTGCCTTAGTTCTTCGACAGGAATCTTTTCCCCAATCATGATCACGCATTGCTGGACGATCATACTCCTTCAGCAAAAATATGTGAGAGGCACTTGATAGATAACCTGTGCTCTATCATCTCGACACCTCCTATCCCTACATGTAGAATTCATCATTATATTTTCTTTTGTTCGATCATCCAGCTAGCAATGACGAACATGGAACAAAGCACATTCAAAATCCCTCTTATGTACACTTTCTGATTTCTCGTTTGGCTCCCTGATGGAATTACATAAGCTTGTGCTATTTTATAGCTGCTAGTGCTGGATGTATCGTTCACCAAATGTTGAATATATAGAGAAAATTAATTAGGATCGATGTTAATAGGCATGTTTATGCATGTTAACTGAAGTGATGTGAAGTTTGAGGCCACGTACGCTTTATGAATCTTGGTATCATACTCCCTCCGTCTCACTCACTAAGGAGCACAGGCATTTTAATATTCAACTCTTTAAATATTTAATCAATAAATATTTTGTTATAAATTAAATTTTATGTGATGAAAATAATATCATTGGATTGTCATTTAAATTTACTTTTACATGATTATGACTTTGTTGCTACAAACATTATAGTATGACAAGTTTAAAGTCAAAGATTAGTTTTGAATACTATGCCAAGTTTGACCACACCTTAGTGAGTGGGACTGAGGGAGTATATGACTTGTGAATTTAAAATAAAATATTGGTTTTGAATACTGTGCCAAGGATTGATTTCTTTCTGCTTCCCATTCGCATATACATGATACATACACTCTCTAGAAATGTAATTCGATCATGCAGAACTAAACATGCAGAAACTTCCTCCATGGCTCCACTAGCTTCAAGCACTAGTTTTCTGCATGCTCTCTCTCTCTCTCTCTCTCTCTCTCTCTCTCTCTCTCTCTGTTGCAGCCAAAGAGTGACAGACATACAAAGGCCTTTTTTATAAGCCATTCTACAATAGCAACTAATGTTGACCTTAACAGGGTTAAATGGGGAGTTATTCTGCAATGTACCATGTGCACTTTGCTGTTCAAATTCATCCATTGAATTTCATGTATGGAGATATTTGACATGTCCAAAGTAATTAATTAGTTACATGGAACCTATGGTTCTTTCGTTGATTTTAACAAGCAAAATATGTATACCTGTAATTGTTTGATTGGCATCGGGAAGAAGAAAACCATGGCCATTATAGCCCATATGATTCTGCAGTGGCTTACTTCCAGTGGCATTAATGTGTGAATCAATCATTTGCAGAGGCTTTGTGAAATTAATCAAAAAAATTCCCTTAAAAATAAGCTTGCTAGTTGTAATAGGGAAAACGCTAAATTAAACTAGCTCTTTTGATTTGATTAATTGCGCGCCACCTTTGTCAGCCTTCACCAGTAGCAATCTCATGATCAAACTCTAGACTACACAACTCGGTCACTCAGAGACTTTCATCGAACGCCTCATGGGCACGAAGAACATATGACTCAATTTTTGCGATGCGAAGAACTTATCGCCTTTTGTCAGTTTTTCTCTCCTCTTATTGAATAGCAGTTACAACGTGAGACATGGACAGTGGCGAGTTGTATCCTAAATGCCCCAGGAGAGGCACACAACGAAGAAAGAGGAAACAAAACAGCAAACAGCTAGAATGACATCTAAATTAAGCTAAGTTGAAGAACAGGATTACCATCAACAACCTTGGGTATTGCGACTATCTTTTTAGACAATCGAAGCCTTGTTGCTAAACCTGCAATCCTGATGTCTCTTATGCCCAATTCCAATTTGTTAAGTACCCCACACATGCACCCACTGTCTGACTTTCTGATCAACTAAATTTTCTGATCTTGAGAGTCGAATGATTTGCACCTTCTGTTTCATGTCCAATTCTAAACCTTCCTTCTTGCCATTTCAAAGCTGCCCTGCTCTCCATTCTCTCAAATGTGATGCAAGAACTGCATGTGTGTGGAAGGATGAATGATTGCCGTTCAAAAATTTTTGAAGAGATATAATATCTTTGCAATTGCTAGCCAAGATCAAAGAGGAGGGTAGAGCATGGGTTAAAGCCGGAGCGACAAGGCTCTAGGAGTTTGGAATTTTGGGAGATACCACCTAATGATCTGTTTCTATGGGTCGGTCGTCTTTTTAGACTGACCCTGTATATACTTTTGTATAATTTTTTCACTCTCTATTAATATACGGGGCAAAGCTTTGCCCCTCCTTAAAAAAAAGCATTTGTAATTCTTTCTTCTCATAGAACGACACTCAAAGCTTTCGCCTGTTCCACCGAACAAGTTTCTCATGTAACAAGTTTTTCAATGAACACAAACTTGCTCCTTTTATGGTAAAAAAGACATGCTCGGTGTAAATGTGAAGACGTAGGATTATATATGTAGATATACATACTGTACTTCAGTAACACATATATATCGAATGACCATTCTATGATTTCTTCTTCCTGAGTACAAAAATGACTCTCAGATTCGTTTTGAGCTTAAACATTCCAATCCTTGCCAGCTGAAACTGCTTTAATTAGATGTGGGACACTCCGACACTAGACAGTTCTTTCTCAGTTTACCGATGATCATCTGCACTCTCCTAGTCCACTAGATTGATTTCAGCAACCGAACATGTCCGTGGAAGTGTGCAGCAACGAGAAAGTTTGCTACTGCAGGGAAGAAGTGAACATCCCAGTGCAACTGGACAATCACTAATTTGGTCATTCTTTGCAGGAGAATTTTGTTTTCGAGAAGAGATCAACTTCTTCCTTTCACAGAGCATTGACTTGAGCCAATGTTCAGTCATCCTGATGACTACCATTCCTTTCTTATTCATCTACAAGTTGGAAGTTTAGAAGAGAACACAGTCATCAAAATAATGCATCTGACATCTCAACCCTTCCTGCATATATGCATCTCTCTTTAACTCTAGATGCTGTTATATAGAGAGAAGCTAGGTAGGCTAGGGTAGTTCTCAACAGGAGTGAGGCCATCAATCAGTGTGGGATGAGAAAATTGCAATTATAGGACTCCAAACAATGCGCTTCGCAGTTATAGGACTCTAATCGTCGACTTCGCTAAAACGACCCTTGAAACATTAGCACTTTATTTTACATGACATTTGGTCCTTTTAATTACTTTTCTCAACTAAAATACATGTATTTTGCCCTAAAGTGACCGTATTGCCATTCTGCCTTCTGTATACTTGATTGATCGTATCTTTTCATCTCGTCCGAGTCCGCCGTCGTCGTTTCTCCTTCCCTCCCCACACCCTCGGCTCCCATGGATGGAGTGCCGCCGCCCGAAGATGGAGATGGACGCCCGATCGCCATGGAAGGCCAAGCAGCTGAAGACCTAGCGGCTTCTGCCCTAGCCGCTCGGGGTCTAGTCACGCCGCCTGGTGGCCTGGGCTTTGATGCCTTGGCAGTGGCAGCCGATGGCCATGTACAGCAGAATGCCAACGCTAGTGCTCTAGTCACTGCTAGAACATTGCTGCCCAATGCTCCTCTTCCGGCAGCAATGGAGATCAACCTTCCTGTTCTTCAAGTGCAAAGGTATTGGCTGCACTAGTTTTCTGTTTTTTTTTACCACGATAGTAGTACACAGTAGTAAAACTTGATTTCACTTGTTTAGGTCCCAAGTAGATCATGTGGAAAATATGGAAAGAGTTGATTGGGATAACATACACATAGTCGAGACACATGATGACGAAGGTCGTATTGCACTTATGAGTGAATCGCAGATTTGTGAGCTTTTAGGCGTGATAGAGGAGGACACAACAAATATACCTGCACAGGGCTTTGGTTGCCGAATGTATGAACAGGGGCATGATAGTGAGCTTGGGCAAAATAATGATGGTGCTGCCATTCCTACTAGTGATGAGGTACCGGGTGAGATGGTCATTTCATATGATAAGAACAACCCATCCATGGCTTTAGGAACAATGTACCCAACAATGGAGGAGTTCAATTTGGCAGTGCGGCAATTTGCCATTAAGGAGGAATTTGATTTAGGAGTAGAGAAGTCGTGTAAGACGAGATATAGGGCTTATTGCAAGTCCGGTGATGAAGATTGCCCTTGCACTTGGAGGATAAATGGCACCAAACAAAAAGGCCAAAGCACTGTGGAGGTAAATAAATTTATGTTTTCTTTCATTAATTCTACTTTTTATGTAAATTAACATGAATCTCTTTGATTTTTTTGTTTTGCAGATAACTGTCATAGTCGATAAGCATACATGTGTGTCTAGCATGAGGCAGATAACTACAACTCCAACTCTGAAGTGGGTAGCTAGCAAGGCTGTGAGTATCCTTAGAGATGATCCAAATATTGGCGCTAAGAGATTGCAAAACAGGTTGCAGACAGATCACAAGTGTGAAATTTCATATGACACTGTATGGCAGGGTAAAGAAAGAGCTCTTGAAGAGGTTTATGGCAAATGGGAAGAGAGTTTTGAGTTGTTGTTTAGGTGGAAGGCCGAGGTAATGAAGCAGTGCCCCGGGAGTGTCGTTGAGATTGAGGTACTTGAGGTGGATGGTCAAGTATATTTCCACCGTTTTTTCTGTGCTCTTAAACCATGCATTGATGGTTTCTTAGAAGGTTGTAGGCCTCATTTGAGCATAGATGCTACTCCACTTAATGGAGGGTGGAATGGTCACTTGGCTGCAGCTGTAGCAGTTGATGGTCACAATTGGATGTATCCACTCGCTTATGGCTTCATAGCTTCTGAAACAACAGATAACTGGACTTGGTTCATGGAACAATTAAAGAAGGCAATAGGTGATCCTCCACTCCTTGCTGTTTGTTCTGATGCTTTCAAGGGCTTGGAGAATGCAGTGAAGAATGTATTTCGAAATGCAGAGCAAAGAGAATGCTTTTATCATCTTGTGAAAAATTTCACGAAGAGATATAGAGGGTTTGGCCAGATATATCCTGCGGCAAGGGCTTACAGAGAAGACATATTCTATGATAATATAGCAAAAATGGTAAGTGAATCAGCAGATGCAGTGAAATGGTTACATAACAATCATAAGCTATTATGGTATAGGTGTGCTTTCAATCCAGAAATTAAGTGTGACTACATAACTAGTAATATTGCTGAGTCATTTAATAACTGGATTAGAGACCACAAAGACTTACCTGTTGCTGACCTTGCTGATAAGATTAGAGAAATGATCATGGTACTTTGGAACAAGAGAAGAAATATTGCATACAGGCTACCTGAAGGCAGGATACTTCCAACTATAATGCATCAGCTGAAGGCAAATACTAGAGGCTTGGGACATTTGAAAATTGTACCATGTTCTAATTGGAGTGCAGAGGTGTGGGACAAGAGCAGCGACGTTGAGAGGCATATTGTCAAGTTACACCAAAGGACCAGTACATGTCTTGAATGGCAGCACACTGGTAAGCCATGTCAACATGTATTGGCCTATGTAACCCGCCAACTATTACTCGGTGAATAGATTCAGGGCTGCTTATGGAAGAGAGATTGAGCCGATGACAGACAAAACTCAATGGCCACAAGTTGACCTACCATTTTTAGTTGGTGCGCCTCTTGCTAAATTACCTGTTGGAAGACGAAGGAAACTAAGAAGGAAGGGATGGATGGAAGGTGGCCACAAGAAAAATGGTTCCAAAGATGGTCCATTTACCAACGAGGGTGAAGGTGAGAAGGGAGGTGACAACGATATTGCTCCAACAAATGGAAAGGGACAGAAGATGATCAGAGGACCTATGACTTGCAAAAAATGCGGAGAGAAAGGCCACAGGCAAGCTAGTGCCAAGTGCCCACTCAATGGGACAGCAAAAAAGAGGTAAGGACTGATTTTATTTATCAAAAACTTAAATGAAAATGCCAATATTAATTTATTTGATTACTTGTAGGAAGCGTAGGCAACCTAGGAAGAATGTTACAAAAGCTGCAGCAGCAGAACCTAGCACCCCATGGAGGCCGACTAGAGAAGAAATCCTACGGGATAGTCCAGGAAGGGTCACTAGAAGGTAAGAAATATTAACACATTTACTGTATATTAATTTTTCCAAACATCTAATTGTCGTATCCTATTTATGTTTAGCAAGCTTGCGATGTTACTACGAGAGGGTACATCTTCACAAACCGACACCACTAGTCCCATGAGGATGCCTACCGCGGCAGCACCAAAAAAGATGACTCCAAAGAGAAAGCTACACATTGGTTGAATAATTTTAGTTGTGATGAGATGTAAACTCATACTTTATTTTATATGACTTGGATCTCGTTTGGAACTAAATTATGGTATTCTGAGATGAACTTGTTTATGCTAGAATCTCGGTTTTATGAGACAAGCTTGTTTGTGCAAAATTCATGGTTTTGTCTATTACTTGTAATTGAGATCTCCTTATAATTGCGTATAGATCATCTTTGATCATCTTTCATTTATTCATTGGGTTAGTGCTGCAATTTTTGTGCATGATTGACCATGTACAGTACAATATTTGGGGCATATGCAGCCGGCAGCTAGAAGCTGCAGCAAGTTCAGGAGCGGCTAGCAGCTTACCAGCCATCCCAGGCGAGCCAGTGCTCTAGCCATGGACAGGCGCCGGCCGGCCAGCCATCCCAGGCTAGCCAAGCGACCAGCTAGCAGCGTGGGAGCACGTCAATTGAAGCCCTGAGGGCAATACAGTCACATCAAGGTAAAATACATGTATTTTAGTTGAGAAAAGTGATTAAAAGGACCAAATGTCATGTAAAACAGAGTGCCAACGTTTCAAGTTTCGTTTTAGCAAAGTCGACGATTGGAGTCCTATAACTGCGAAGCGCATTGTTTGGAGTCCTATAATTGCAATTTTCTCGTGTGGGATTTGTTACAATCGTAGCATTGGAATGCTAAACCCCATGGGAACAAAACCCTGTCAGAACATACCATTAAGTTCAGTTGTTGCTAGAACCAGCAGAAAATTTGAAGTAATTAACTAGAGGCAATGAAATAATTGAGCTTGGCTTTGCATAAATTCCATGCTTATCACAACTGGTTGCCGCTTTGACTAATTTCAAGAGCTGTATAGTCCATCAACCAAGGATTATTTTTTGAGAAAGGCAATATGTGTTGTCCGTATTTACAAGGATACGATGGGAATTTGCTAAAAAAAAATTGTAAAGGACATTTTAATCATTTGTCCTTAGGTTCAATCTCTATCTGCTGGCGTTGTTGTGCATGATTCAGGTGAGGGGGCGAGAGGGAGAGACAAGCCAAGGCGGTGCTATTCGTATTGTGATGTCATCATTTCCACTAATTTATTGAAGTAAATCACTAAAATTAAATTGAGTCAACAGAGAATACAGAAATTTCTAAAAAGATAGCATCACTCCTATTGAGAACACCAAGCTACTAATTCAAAACCTTCGAGCAGCTATAATAGGAAAATGAGAAAATATTTTGTTCTTTTCTTTTAGGGAGAGGCACCAAAATCTACACCAGAAAAGTGTGATACCTATAGGTACCTCTTTAAGGATAGTAATTTTTTCTATATCCTATTGTGTGCAAGAATAAAGAATAATCGAGTTTTTCATATACTTTGCACTTAATCTCCTTGAGTTACTTAAATAAATTAGTGGAACAAAAATGGCGAATGTACTATTGAAGAGTAAAAGAAGGTCAATGCAGTTGATCAAAGCTTTTTACAGGTCATGCTTTCTTTGCATATTTATGATCAATGCAGGCAACATCAAGAGCCTGATGGCAATACAGTAAAAGAAGAAGGATGAGAGCAGAGCGATGGCTACCGGTTAACAGGGGCGTAGCCAACTAGGTGGCACCGTGGTCCACAGACCACCTAAAAATTTGAAATTATAGTATATGTGCTAGTTAATATAGTAAAAGTTGTATAGTGGACCACCCTTTTAATTGACATATTATATATAGATGGACCACTTTTACTTTAAATCCTAGCTACGCCACTGCCGGTTAAGCCACACCCTAATTCAAGCAACATGAAGAACCCAAAATAACTAATAGAAACCATGGTCAAGAGAGTGATCCAAATTCCCGATACCTTCCATTCACTGCTTCACCACTACTGAAAATCTTTGGAGGATCTACTCATATAAGGTCATTGAGATCTCCAACAGTGTTGTATGATTCAGTACGCATGCATCATATATAAAACAACGATCAATCATCATGACTGATTAAGAAGGTCAATATGACATAAAGATGGATACTTTCAAGAAAATATAGGTTGCATAGGAAGATCAATCTTATCCTCGTATAACTAGTCCAATATCCATGGTAGGGCTTCAAGTGAAGAAAAACCAGCTTATCAATCATCATAACTGATATTGTAGGATTATATTCAGAAACAGACCAACTGACTATTATTGTACAATTTCTACTTGCTAAGATTGATTATAGTGAGTGTAGGGGGTTTCCATATTGTTACCGGTAAAGAAAAATAATTAACATTGACGCGCCATCCTGATCATGATTCTTGTCGTCAACATTAAAAGAACAGAGCATGTTGTGGGTGGGTAAGATAACATCAAATACTTGAAGTTTGCCACTGTGGGGATGAGATGTGAAAATCCCAATGCAAGTCAACTAGTCTTTGTTTTGCTCCTACTAATTTGACCGTTCTTTTTACTAGAATTGTCCATGTGAGAGGAGGCTATATATAGCCTTCTTCCTTTGACGGGAACTCGAGAATTTGAAGGTGTTTTGCTATTCTGATACCTACCATTCCTTTGTCCTTCATCAAGCAAGATGTAAGACAAAAAAACGGCTATCAAACTTCTGCATTTGACAACAATCTCTCCTCTTCTTTCTACTTGGATCTCACTTGGCCCATACTCTATCTGTAGCTGCAATGTGCAACACTAGCTAGTCTTGACAAGACAGACAGACAGACTGAGGAAAAACTGATTTTATTGACCTGTGTGCTCATGATGTCTTAATTTATGTTTCGATGGTCGGGTGTGTGTGAGGGGGGAGGGAGGGAGGGGGTGATGTCCATAATAATAGGGGTTGGTCGGCCAATTTTTTTTTAAAATAAATTTCAGACTGGTTCTGTGCATGTGGACTAATCCTTTCTAGACAATTAGACGGCCTATCCGAACAAGCTTTTTTTCGTGTGGATGTGGTGTGTACTACTCTAAGTATGGTTGTGTTTAGTTCCCTTCAAACTTCCAACTTTTCCGTCATATCAAATGTTTGGGCACATGCATGGAGCATTAAATGAGGACGAAAAAAACCAATTGCACAGTTTGCATGTAAATTGCGAGACGAATCTTTTAAACCTAATTACGCCATGATTTGACAATGTGGTGCTACAGTAAACATTGCTAATAACGGATTAATTAGGCTTAATAGATTCGTCTCGCAGTTTACAGACGGAATCTGTAATTTGTTTTGTTATTAGTCTCTGTTTAATATTTCAAATGTGTGTCCATATACGTCAAAAAAAATTTGGATGGGGAAGTAAACATGGCCTATGTAGATATCCGCGATATTATCTGTATGATATAATTTTCATTCATCTATCAGTTAATCTGCTATTAATTTTCCAAAATTAATTTCCATCTTAATGAACTTCATGAAGAGAAAAGTAGTTCTCCATCTGATGACTGAACCAAGTAGAAAGGTGCAACATCCCCAGACTTCAGAAAACCTCTTGCACTACTACTGGACATGTATTATGAGCTCAATGTTTCTTCTGCGAAATCAAATGAGAGGTGCAATAATATGCGTTAAAGATCATCTGCTCATCTCATCATGAATCTGTCGTGGTATCACAAAGGATTTCAGTTGCATGAAACAAAATCTATAAAAACAATGTTCATCTCTACCAATGGAAGGTGAAGGTCATCTGGTCATATAGTGCTAATTAATAGATCGACTTGGATTTTTTTTGGTACATGATAAAAATAAGAACACTAGATTTCTATAATCTTAGAGGAAAAATAGCTTCCAACATGGTTGACATTTACTACAGCTCTCCGGTGATTACATGATGCTATCCCCCTTGTATTTTGGAAGCATGGGAACTTCCGGGATTGCGAACTCCAGCGTAATTAACAGGTTAATATTGACAGAATCTATTACTAGGCACCATGGCTCAATGTCCTAACACCTAACATTCCCATATCGACAGACGACAGTTTGGCATTCTTCGAGAAATTTCAGGTTGGTACAGATTGCTAAGTAGTGCAGAAAATTTGACATTGGCAAGGTCTCCTAATAACCCATATGAACACAGTAGAGATTCCACTATATATAACTCGTTCCTACGCCTTCTCAATAGCAGTAAGTATTTGTAGGTGCTCATTTTTTTTTTGACTCACTGACTCTCTCCTTTGTACAAGAAGAAAGAAGTATAAAAAAATGCTAAATTTATAGTTGTTCAATGTACATATCTAACCATTGTTAGGTGAAGACAAAAGCAGGATTAATTAATTCTAACGAGGGTCAAATAGGAATAGAGGATTGAAATTAATTTTCACCTACCATCTTCTCTTCATTGGTTTACACAATTCAGGTGATTATAATTTCAGTAAAGTGTAAATAAAAGGCATGCAAAGGATTGAAAAACTCAAGCACTCACTCTGTTTGGAATGGAAAAACTTTATTCTCTTGCTTTTCTACTCCTGATCATCATTTGCATTTACATATGCCCGGGAGACTCTCCCAGGCCAATTACATGTTGGGAAAGTATTTTCTACACCTAGGTGCCATGGCACCTAGGTGTATGCATGTAATTTAAATAACTATATAAAAATTTCATAAAATTTGGTAAGATAGACTATGATAATATAAAACACTGTACAAACATGCAAGTCTAAATTCGATCGATATAAGAAGAAACAAAAAATAACAAATTTTATCTGCGTTGTACCGGTACTATTCACTGTCCGATTTTATTATTTTTGTTTCTCTAGTTGTAGATCAAATTTAGTTCTGCATGTTTGTGTGTAGACTTATAACAACACAATTGATGTTACTAATTTTTTTCAAATTTTCCTATAATTATTTGAGTCGCATGCAATCGATGGGTGCCATAGCACCTAGGTGTAGAAACACTTTTGATGTACCTTTGTCGGAAGCTTTTAGGTAAACACACTGGTGGTGTTCACAAATCAACTTAAACTTTGTTGGAAGGAAATGAAGAATCAGAGTGCACACGCTTGTACACTCCAAGGTCGTCAAGGATCGGAAGGATGACCAGTTCTCGGCTCTGAATCTAGGGCACTCTCTGGACAAGAAACACTCAGGAGAAGAGCGTTATTTGAACAGCTCTGTATGTGTTGCGTTATCTCGATACCTCTTATACCAACATATACCAAGTTGTCAGTTTTCCCTTCACCTAGCTAACAGCGAACATCGGAACATGAAACAAGGAATACAGATTAAACTTCTGTGTATTGATGAGTACATTTGTTTCAAGCTGTATATGCAGGTCACCACCAGTGTACTCGAATATCCGTGGTAATATAATACTCCCTCCGTCCCTAATAAATATTCGATGCCGTTGACTTTTTTAAACACGTTTAACCATTCGTTTTATTCAAAAACTTTTGTAAAATATGTAAAACTATATGTATACATAAAAGTATATTTAGCAATGAATCAAATGATAGGAAAAGAATTAGTAATTGCTTAAACTTTTTTTTGAATAGGACGAACGGTCAAACATATTTAAAAAAGTCAACAACGTCAAATATTTAGGAACGGAGGGAGTATGTAATATATACCAATTTGAAGAAGGGTACACAAGAGGTTTGCTAATAATATGTAATTAACTCATTCAAGAAGAGAAGTAATTAACCAACGTATTATTTCTTACCTCACATTTCCCCTCTTCTCGGTAAGAAAGATCCAAGAACTAGACATCGCTAAATAGTTTTTATATTTACCATGTCATATAGACACTATATATAGAAACAATATATTCAATGGATGATGACTTCAAATTAAATTCACATCCAATCACCTCTCTTTTGATCTTATCTCTCCTTTTATTCACCTATACTCTTGTTTTCATTTTTGGTTCTTGTGTAGAGATAGTTTCTTGCATGAAAAATGGTTTTTTCATCTTTTTACCTCTCTCCTCATTAACTCTCTTACC